TAAGGGAGCTTTTGGTCTGTATTACTGGAATGTTCTCTTTGTTTTAGAAAGCAGCTGAAGAACCTGGAAACAAATTCTATCTGTAATTTCACAAAAGGAAAGCAAAAGGATTTCCTCACAAATTACTCTGTATATGTATTTGATGTAAGTAGTTGGTTTTTTTAAATCTTAGAAACCACTAGGGTATCCTGAATGCATGATATATTTGATTTGCAAGTTGGGTAAGGTTTGTAAAATTATTTTATGAACAGAGAGTTAATCTGTTTTAAGAAGGTAATGTGCATAGTTTATCCAAGCTAGTATATGTGATATATTTAGCTCTAATGAAATGTGCCCTAGATACATTTATTTAGCGGAGGAATTTTGGAATTATTTGTTTATAAGGCTAGTTCCTCCCACTTTCCAGCTGTTACTTCTTGCAAAATCTTAGAGCCTAGTGGACATATTAGAACCATTGATCTAAATGCAACTTACAGGAAAAAATGGAGCTTGATGGTCATAGTTTTGACTTGAGAATTACCAAATGGGTATTTGCCCCAGTTTTTTTTTTTTTCTCAATTACAATGTGGTGAATATGTGAGAACAGACTTGCACTCCAAACCTGCTGAAATTAATAAAGCATCCTGGGGAAGAGTACCGACTAGTATTTAATTCTGTGAAAACAGGATAATCTCTGCTTTAGTTCCTATTTTTGCACAAATATATATTCTCATTTGAATGAATGACTCACGTAGGAAAGTCTGTAAAGTGTATATATATTTATTATATGAAATACATGCTGGTATTTTAAAATTTGTAAATATGGTGAGATGCTATTCTTGTTGAACCAATTCTGGTACTTCTCTTCAAAGTATGTAAAAATCTCTAAGCCCAAATTACGTGGCAGTCAGGCTAAAAGCATTTCGTAGAAATGTGTTATATAAATGCTAGTCTCATTAAATCCTTCTGCCTATCTGTATTAGTCCAGACACCTTTCTACCGAGAACTATCTGTACATCTGTGTGCACGTATGTATATATAATATATACATACATATATTCTATATCCTTATATAGACATATTATCTTATAAAAACCTAAAGATTCGTGAGGTTCCCTATATATAGATTACAGAGTAGTAGTTCCCTGGAGCAGTAGTGCCAAGTCTTTATATAGCTGAGCCCTAAAAATGGAAGCTCTACAAAATAGCTGCTAAAAAACATGAACAGTTTTGTGAATTTTAAATTTTAAATGAATTTTAAAATGGTACAATATTGTGAGCTATCAGGAAACAAAATCAGACAAAACCACGATCCCTAAATTCTTCATCTTCTTTTATTTTTGGTCCTCATGTGGAAATCTCCTTAGAGACTTGGGTGTCAGGGATGGGGATATGTAAGAAGTGACCCCCGCCCCCGTCCCATCCAAATCACGGGAAGGTAACTGAAACATGGTCAAGCAGAAGGTTTTGCGCTGCCTGAGCTGGGGTGGGAATGGGTTTACTGGCCACCAATTAGTTGTCAGATCTTCTATGGCATTGGCTGCCTTAGGACCTGCTCTAAAAGGAGTGGGTAGGAAGAGCTTAGTCATGACCTACACAGGCCAGCTCTCAAATCACAGGCAGTTCAATGCACTCCATTACAGAGAGGAAAGAAGGAAATCAGACTGGATTTATCAGGTATTTATGGGAGCTGGGCAATCCTAGAAAAAATTTGGCTGGATTAGTAACACAGTGAAATATCAGTATAGATATTTCTATAAAGGTAGAGGTCCACTGCTTGCAATCAGTTTTCTGATTTCCATTTCCTTTAATGTGTGCTTTGAAGTTTAAATCACAGCTATCCAGCTTCAATAACA